TCACTCACTCACTCACTCACTCACTCACTCACTCACTCACTCACTCACTCACTCACTCACTCACAATCAATCAATCAATCAATCAATCAATCAAACCCCTTTTTTGTTTATTTATTTTGAAATTCTGCATCTGCATTTTTTTAAAACACCTCATACCCCTGCAAAACACAGAAATTCATTTCTAAAAAAAATACAGGTCAACTCAGGGACCATATGGTAGAGAAGGGGTTGGATGATAGATGACCGGGGCAAGGCATTGGTATGGCCCCGTAGGATGGTTGTTCTACTTCACAGTTTTTTCCTCCTGATGAGTCTACCGGCGGTGGTAGACGAAACACGTCGAGGATTACCGCGTTTTATTGTTGTGATGATTGTTTTCCATTGGCTATATAAAGCATGCGTGACAGATGGTTTTCATGGGCGATCTCTATGCGTCTGTTCTCATGTTGATACTGTCTTGCCGGGCAGTCTTTTCCTTTTCGATATTCGTGACAACCACCAGTGAGGTGGTCACGCCTTCGCCTAGTTTTTCATGAGGTATTGCGGAGTTCGGTTCGTACGAAGCCTCTGCCATGGAACGCGTTCTGCTACGATGTGCGTTTCTCTTCTCCGATGGCGATGCTTTGATTATGATTTGGGTTTCTTACGATGACGAGACTGATAGGTTCAGGATCATATTTCGACAGGAGTAGATAGTACCTAACTGTGATAACACTTTTAGCCTGGTAATTGGTACATGGGAGTAGCTGTGATTGTTTTCTTCTACCGTGTCTTTCTGTTACCTCCTACTATTGCGAATACTTAGGATCTCGGAGAATATCTACTATTGCAATTTTGCTTACTTGAAGGAGCTAGGTGACGCATTTGCCGTTGTTTAGTCTGGATCCGGCTTTCTGTTTCCCACCATGAGTTCCAACAAGTGTTTTAATTGTGGAGGGGAAGGGCACTTCGCAAGGGAATGCCCTTCCACTCGTACTAACCCGCCGAATGGCTCCTCAGCGTCTGCGGCTCCTCGCTTTTGAACACCGAGACGCCAGACTGACGATTCGGAGGAGAAGGAGTTCCTTCGGCAGTTGATCGCCGAGAAGAAGGAGGAGCAGGCACGAAGAAAGGAGGTTGAAGAAAAGAGGAGGTTTGATGAGATGATCAGGCAGGAGATTGAAAGGAACTCGGAGGCGATGGAAGCAAGGGTGATGTCGAAAATTGGGAGACATTATTTGGCAGCTAAGGATGAAGCTAGGTGGGAGGAAACGCGTTGCCATATCGATCGCACCCCACGGCCGTCGCAAAGGCAGAGAGTCGCGGATGACTTTACTGACAAAGATATTGAGGAGATCGAAAATGAGATTGCTAAATTGTATGAGCTTCGGGAGAAGAAAAGGAAAGTGAAACATTCTTGTACTACACCGGTGAGGCGATCTTTTAGGCAGCCGGATTTCAACTGCCAAGGGTCGGTAGATAACGAGAGGCCAGGTGGTGAGTCCTCTCGTATGGGCGAGCTGAGAGGACGAAGTAAGGTTGCTGCGGGTAGTGGCCCTGATGGTATTCTCACTTATATTCTGGCGCAGAGAAGGCTCTTGACTCCGAAAACCAAGGATCAGCTCAAGGCGATTTGCGCGCAAGAGGGGGTGACCTACACGACGAAAGCGTCAACCATCAAGCGAATCGTGGAGGTTCGTGCAAAGTTGGCATACGAGGGGTTTGTTTTTACTCCTTCTCCTTCAGTTTCTCCGACATCTGGGGCAGATGGGGAGGATACTCCATTGAACTGACTGTCCCGCAGGACTCGTTTCTGGCTATGGTCGAATTTGGTGGAATCTATGAACCATAGGAAGGCAGCATGGGAGTTGGGGTACTCACCTCATTTGCGAATTTTGTTGGATACTTGTGTCACGCTGTGTATGGTAGCTCTATCGCTCCTAGGAGAAATCCTATGGTTGGAGAAGTTCCGATCACTCTTGTCGTCTATGGATTGGGATGCTTGGGGTACTGGTCCAATGGTTTATTTACTTACCTCGCCATGGTGTAAAGCTCAACACATTGGATGTTCAGTTCGGGGGATTTATGTTCGATGGGGTGAACATATTCGAACGGTGAAATGTCGAGGGTTAGGTACTTCCCCTAAGCTCTATAAGTGGCTCCGTATGATTGGGGCTTGGGACTATGTAGCGTTACCTCTCGTGAATGGTATTTTTTCGGTTGATGCAGCTGAGAAGGTCTTGATAAAGAACTTCTCACCTACTCTCAACCATAGGAGGAGGGTTTTGCCTACGAAGAAATCGCGGCGTGGTGGGAGAATTAGAAGGAAGGGTAAGTTGCCTGTTGGAACGGCCTGTGGGATTATTAAGTTCCGAACAGTAGGAGGGGAATGGTCAGACAGTCTGCTTCTAATCCTTCGAAATGCGTTGATCGCCAATCGTCGGGATCTGGTTATTGAAATCTCAGCAGGGAATCTTTGGGCTGACACGTGGTCAGTAGTACGCCAGTGCTTTGGACTTTCTTTGGTTGTTGATGGTTCTACCTATTTTCTTAAGGAGCTTAAGAGTCAGCTACAGTATCGGGGGGTTTGGACTGTGACATCTCTAACTTTCACCCCTAGCAGCAGAGCTCTGTGTAAGAACCAATTAGTCCTCCTCTTGCGTAAACCTTGGACACGTCGTATGCTTAAGTTCAAATCCGTCGTCGCTTTGACCAGATGGTACCAAGCTATTCGCACTTTCTCGGGTAAAGCTACTTGATCGTCGCTTCGGGGAATCCTAGCCCGCTCCCTTAAGAACCGGATTGGGATTGATGTTCGACGCCCAGTTTTGGTACGCATGCCTTTTGACCATCTCCTTTGTTCGTCTCGTGTTCATTCCTTGGTACTTGGGATTTTGGAATCTTCGTCCTTCCCTAAGGCCGTCCACGTATTGATTGCCAGAAAGGTCCGGTTTGTATGGAGGAAGAATGCTCCGGTCTCTAGTTACATATGGTCTTTTCACAAAGCAGCTAAGTGTGAAGTAGAAAAGGTGTGTTGTTGTGCCTTGGAACCTACATGGAAATGATCGGGGATTCACATCGTATCTCGTATTGGTGAAATCCTAGGTGTACATGCGCTTCTTCTTAACTCGAAGAATATTCCTCGAATTCAACCCCGAGACGGGGTTTTGGATTTAGGCAGGCAGTTAGTTTCCATATGCAGTTATCTGCGGTCGTCATGTCTTCTTACTCGATCTGACTTGTTGCAATGTTGGGAGGCTCAGGGGGATGGCGGATTGAATAATGATCTTGATGCCTTGCGAAACTGGTCTCTCAGGTTTAGGAATTTGTTTGTGTTCCGTTAGACGGAAACACATCGGATACATTGATCGTTTGTCCGGTGATCTACGATCACTATCTTCGCATGACCTTCAACTGGAATTTGGTTTTTTTGCCTGTTCAGACCGATTTGCTTGAGGTGCTCGATACTATATGTTCGGAGTTTGAAGGCGCGCACTTAGATGTTTTGGGGAAATGGGACCCGGCTGGGCATTTTGGGGATGCGTACGTATTGCCCAAACACAAAGATATTACACGATGGCGGCCGATTTCGCCTACCTGCTGTGATCCAGCTCGAGTGGCCAGTGCCCAGGTCTCTCGAGCACTTGATTGTTTGTTGTTCTCTCTCCCTGCACACTCCAACTTCAACCTTCGAGCGGTGATGGATTTGGTCCCAGGTTTGGAGAGGATGGACAGACGTTTTCGGGGGATACCGGGCTACTGTGACTTGATTTCTGCTTCGTTTGACGTCAAAGACATGTTTGTGTCTCTCCCGTATTTGGAGATTCTACAGGCGGTTGACTGGCTCCTTGCTTTTTTTCACCATAAAGGTTACAAGGGGGTTAATGTGGCTAAGAGAGGTAAGGCCGCTTCTCTTTCATTTGGGAAGAAACGCGATGAATGTTGGTTTATCTCTCTGAACATGATTCGGGGGATGGTCTCATTCGATCTTCGGTTCACCTTTATCTTTTCTGCTGGAGTCCTCCTTCGTCAGATTGTAGGTGTACCGATGGGTAAATTCTCCAGTTGCTCATTGGCTTGTATTCTTTGTGCCTTTGTAGAATGGCGGTTCCTGTCTTCTCTGGGACGAGATCAGAAGTTGGTACAAGGATTTAGAATAGTTGATTATGTGACCATTTTTGTAGTAGTAAGAACGCCCGTTGGCTATGATCGCTCTTTTGCCATAATTGACAATTTCGCCAGATGTTACGGTTCATCTTTGAGGTTGGTTCGCACCGATGAATCCCAATTTGCCTGGACCTTTGCTGGGGTCACTATCTTCAAGCATGGGGTATCTTTGCGTACCTTAGTGATACTTAAGAATGCAGGGTCTATTTGGGATACTGGGGATTTGACTTTTGGTTGCTTTCAAGATTATGCCTCTTACTCTAGTAAGAAGGCTAAGATAGGGGCTATTCTCAGTACTTTACACCGGTTTTTTCGCCTTTCCAGCGATCCGTGGGGTCAGCATGAAGCCCTGCTGGCTGTCAAACGCGAACTCTTGATGAGAGGGTATCTGAGGAGGTTTATCATGTCAACTTTCTAGCCATTTGGAGCTAAGTGCGGACCTTCCGTGGCCGAGGTCATAGCAGCATGTGTGTGATTAGGGGCTTGGCTTCTTTGCCAAGTAGGCCTCACGAGGCCTTGTATACTATCGTTAGGAAAATTTTGGGTTTTCAAAGGGTATCCTCGGTAGCCTATTAGGTGTTTTTGACACATCCGATGGATGGTGAAGGGGCTGTGTACAGTGTGTGAGGGTCTATGCTTTTGGTTGGCCCGACGTTAAGGATCCTTTTTTCGTACGATTGGCCCTTATGGCGGAGTAGGTTGTTCTCGTTTCGTCACTCCGAATCTGGATTGACGCGTAGGTTACCTACAGTGAGCCCTCTGGCGTAGGTTTGGAACCTGGGCCTATGGCTTCTGACGAGAGTATGTTGCAGGTAGTGTTTTTAGTGGTTTGCGGGCATTAGGCTGTTCTCGATTCGTCGAATTTGGATACGACGGGTAGGATACCTATTGTGAGCCTTGTTTGGCATAGGTTTCGAACCTAGGCCCTTGGCTTCTGACGAGAGCATGCTGTGGTGAAGCGTTCTTTGGATACCGTATTGGCCGAGGGTCTGCTCGCTGAAGACCCTGTCGGCGTAGGGACCAAAGGGGAACCTGTTTCCGGCTCCCTTTCGGTGCCTTTCGGTGTGCCCGACCTGGGCCCCTAGTAGACTGTGACTGTCCTTTGTCGTTTTTCCTGTTTGTTGATTTTTTCCCTTTCACCCATGGGTTTTGAACCGTTTCCTTTGTTGTTGATAGCATAGACGGTACAAGGGATGACCGGGGGACTTACATAAGCAATGATTGCATAGTTGTTCTTCCCTTTGGGTCCAACGACGTGAGGCCCTCGGTTGTTTTCGGAGATGACAGTGGGTTAGCGACAGAGGTGGGAGCGTGGAAAGTTGGGATGTTGACGAGAGTGATGACTAGCGGTTTCCCCCTGAAGATGAATGTGTGGCGGCGGTCGAAACCGGTCGGGGTGCCATACCCACCGGCTACGAGCAATCCTGTGTAATCTTGTACGGTTTATGTACATTTTGTATTGTGACTTGACTTGTGTATGCCGATACTTGTGTCAAGCCGACGCTTGTGTCAACGCTTATGCATGAGTACTTTCACACTCTCTATCTGATCACTTGCAGAAGGCCCATGTGAACCCGCTTGGAGATGACGGTTGAGCGAGCGTGAGCATGAAGACGACTGTTCTGGTCCTTGTTCTTGTTCTTGAAGTGTTGGTTTGATGAAGTACCGACGCGAATTGGAAGGAGTAGGAGTATAACCGAGACAGTAAGCCAGGGTTGGAGTCTTCGTAGTTCTGTAGTGGTGATTAACCGAAAGAAGGGAGTAGGGAGTTTCGAAGCCCGTGGAGGGTGTAATAGTTGGTCTGAGAAGCTATTCGGGATCCCGCCCAGCTGGGATTTCGTGGTCACAAGACACAATGTCGGGAGGAGGCTATCGTGATTACGGGCGCGATAGTAAGCGCGATAGGAATGTTGGCAGGGGACGCAGCGGGGGTTACGACAGTGGTCGAGAGCATTCCCGAGACCAGCGCGCAGACTGGCACCAGGAACCGCGTAGATCTTTGTCACAAGATAGGGAATCTTACGCAAGAGAACCCCTGCGTCGAACCCCGCCAGTGTGCTTTGAATGCGGGCAACCTGGGCATTATCGTAACCAGTGTCCTCGACTGGTTGGGGAAGGTGGTTCACGTTATGGCGGCCAACGACGGGGGAGATCGACTTCGCCTAGCCAGCATAACCGGGCAGGCGAGAAGCGGTCGTCATCGGAAGATCCAGCCATGAGAAAGCAAATTGAAGAACTCACTACCTCTTTAGCGGCCATGCAGGAACAGGTGGCAGCCGAGAACGCTCGATGCGAGGAGAAGGAAAAACGCAAGCAGTAGAAAGCTGAGAAGAAAAGGAGGGAGGAGGAGGAGAAGCAAAGAATTGAGGAAGAAAAACGTGAGGCGGAGCGCAGAAAGAAGAAGAAGGAAATGAAGATTCAGAAGGAAGCGGAGGATAAAGAGAAAATGAGAAAAGAGATGCTGATGCATATGTCGTTGCATGTCGAAGGACTGGAAGAAAGGCTACAACACAGGCTGGCGAACGTGTTGAAGAACGTAAAGAAGGGGAAAGCTAAAGTGCAGGAGCCCGAAGATTCTGATGAGTTGTACGCGTCCAATGATTCCGACAGAGGCGAGGTGGAGGCTCTGAGCAATAAGACGGGGAATCTGACGATAAAAGAGAAGCGAAAACGAAGCGGTGAGAAGGAGACTGGCGATAGCCCGCCTATGGAGACTCCTAAGAAACGACACGGCAAGCAAGGTGCGGTGGAACCGGTGCGATTGTCAGAGAGACTCCAGCTGAGTTGCCAACATCCACTCATGAAGCGCTCTCCGAAACGGAAGACGCCATGACGCGGGACACGTACAGGGCGAAAGATTCCAGCAACGATTGGACCAATTGGAAGACTCAAGTACGTGACCGAGAATCTGCGTGACCTGGCTGACCTCACAGTGGACGAATTGAAACAGATCTGTAAGACTGAGGATGTGCAATGGGAAGGGAAGAAGATGCAGACCATCCTAGCTATTGCCAATAAAAGGACGCAAGTGGCATACAGATCGCATGACGAAGATGATGCGGAGAACGTCGCTGATGACACGAGCACCAATGAAGTTGCCGAGACAGGAGGAGACGTGGAAGAGGAGGTGTGATGGGACTGGGAGGTCAAGGAGTTATGGGCAGTGTGCCGCTGCCTAATTGATTGGAGGAGGGAAAGGTAAGGGGACGCACATACCGATAACTTATACCGACTGGTTGTGATTCTGCTAGCACTGGCTGATGAGATTCGTTGGTTAAGGAAGTGTGTTGACTCGTCGGTTAGTTTGTATCTGCAATACGGGATCGATGTTTTCCTGGATACATCTTGCTGCATTTACGCTCTGTCTTCACCAATCTGTCGTGCACAGTATATCGGACAGACCGGCTGTACCGCCAATATTAGATGGAAGGAACATCTATCAGTTTGTTATCTAGGGTTGAAGAACAACCACCTGTATAGATGGTGGCGCTCTTTCGAAGCGGAGTCCCACATACTCCTACCACTAGATTGTTGTAAATCCGACGAGCTGATAGTCCTGGAATAGCTATATATACGGCGTTGGTGCCCCGTTCTCAACACTATTGGGAAGCAACCGTGCGCAAGTAGACGAAAGCGATGCAGACGTCGAAAAGGGAGCGATGAGAGACGTAGGGAAGCAGTGCACCGGAAGGCCAAGAAGGGTCCGAAGGCATTAACTCCGGTGAAGATACGTACCGAGGAGGATGATGCATGGAGCGTGAACCTTTTCTCGACGTTCGTGAAGAAGGAGAAGGAAGATGCAAGGAACTTTAAACTTATCTCGCAAGGCGGAGATAGCTGGTGTGGTGGATGGAAATCCATAAGGAAAGCTTTCGGGAAGTCTATCATTGTAGTGAACGGAACTAGCCAGAGACTATGCGAATGTAAACAGTTTTTGGAGAAGGGTGGTACATGTGAGGTGAGTCGACTACGGAAGTGGAAGCCGAAGGTAGGTCCAGATAAGCAATTTTTTATTTCGGTATTGCGTAATCCTAGCCGTGTGAATCTGCTGAAACGCTGTAGTTTTGATGATTTAGTCAGATTGAACGGATCAGCGAAGGAATTCCAGAGGGCATCGACGACGGCTTACCTGCGGAGGTTGATAAGCCGAACGATTAAGGAAGGGTTCGGCTGACATGTTAATGCTAAACTAACTATTCGATTGAAATTCGATGATAGGATATGTATGGTGGAAGTGAGGAAACTTGTTAATGATAAGTTACAGGAGATGGAATTACCTGCCTGCTTGAAGATGGCTGCGCGAACTCAAATTCGTATCGTAGGGACTGAGAACCCCTCGGTAGCTGACTCACTGCACAATCAGCGAGTATTTGCGAGAGTTGAGGTACTGACCTGTATTTGTGTTGGGCTACCCTATCCTAGGATAGGAGATCACATGCAGTTTCGTCTTCAAGAGATGGAGGATGTCGATCCCCTGTTATGCAACGCTAACAATATTCCGAAGTTACCTCACCCATACCGTGCGCAGTTACTCAGAAAAGAGATTACAGACGGACTGTTGGGTTGGAGCAATTGTAGGGTACGGACGATGTCGGTCAGCAAGGAGGAAGCGGATAGGTGTATTGCCACGGATCACATGCAACAGGGAGATGGCAGGTTTCTGAGCATGAGCAAAGTGATAGATCTGAAGGAAAAACTGAAGGGACTAGTGCTAACCCCCCTGGACCAGAACCCAGGTGAAACGCTGGTCCTATGCCCGAAAGTGTACTATGAGGCGATGATTTCCCTGTTCGTAGGAAATCCGGGTTACGTTGTGGTTGATAAGGAGGAGAAGGAGATTATAAAAAAAATTCGAAGCAGGCCCTGAAGGAAGATGGTGCTCAAGTTCGCGAGATGGGATGGGAAAGGGGTAATAGGCGAAGCCTACGTCTTGCCCAAGCACAAAGACACAAGTCGGTTCAGACCTATCTGCCCGACGTATGCAGAGCCCACTGTGAAGACCTGCCGCAGCGCCGCTAAAGCTATGAACCATCTATTGTACACGCTGCCAGCTAAGTGGCACTTCAACCTCAAATCGGTGTCGAAACTGGTACCACGGATCGAGAAGTTTAACAGTAGCATTGATCGGGAAGTCAAGGGGCAGTCAAAACTCGTCGCGATGTCATATGACATCAAAGACATGTTTAGTAAGTTGCCCCATGATGAGATCCTGACAGCGGTCAACTGGGTAATCAAACTATCATCTGCAACGAGGTAGGAACATGGTGCGCGTGAATCCACAAGGAAGAGGCAACACTTTTGGGCGGACAACCGACGATGACCACTGGCGTACTATTGATTTGGAACCTTTGCTAGCCTTCGTGCGTCTAGAGCTGCAACAGACCTTCACCAAGGCAAGTGGGGTCGTGATGAGATAGGTAGTAGGGATCCCGATGGGAAAGAGCACCAGTCCCCCACTAGCCTGTATCTTGTGTGCTTTTGCGGAATTCCGCTTCCTGAACAGTTTCGGGAACCTTAGGAGATTGGTGTTTGGTTGTCGGTTGATGGATGATGTCAGCATTGTGATCTTGGATCGTGAGGGAAGAGACGAGCAAGTATCAGAGATTCGTGAGAAATTTGAAATCTGTTACCCAGATAACCTGTTCTTAAAACGGACAAATGACGGGTCAGGAGGTTGGGAGTTTTTGGGATTGAAGATAAGGGTAAGCATGCTTGCACCATACATTGGATGCACGCAACTCTCCAAGAACGAAAAGACGATTTGGGAGGATGGGACGTTGGAGTTCAAAAATGGACAGTCTTTTCACTCTTGGGGTAGTAAAGCACAAAAAAACGTTGTGATTATGAGGTGCCTCCATAGGATTGACAAAAACACCAATATCCAGTCTGGCATTCCTTTGAAGGTGCTCACTCTGATGAGGGAACTGCGGATAAAAAGCTTCCCAAAACAATTTCTCGAACGAGTCATAAAGCGTTTTGCTAAAGGCCGGGATGCGATCTAGAAGAACGACTGTAATTGGTTGTACTGATCCATGACAGCCTAAGAAGTTCAGGTGTGGAGGCTTCCACGAGTTCTGTAGAAGTAGCAGTCGGTTTCAAAGATTTTGTAGCTTTTGTGCTCCGACTTGGATGCTTGTCTCTGTCAGCAGCAGACTGAGCTATTTGTCTGTTTTCTGTTCTTTTTTATTTTTTTGTTTTTTGTTCTTTTTTCGGTTTCTTTTCTTTTCGTTTTTCGCGAGTTTTTTCCTTGACCTTTAATGAGCCCATAAGTAGTGACAGAGTCTGGAAGTCCCTACGAAGTTGTTGGCGGTTTCGGAGTTTTACCGTTGACCTGTGTACTCGCCTTAGTCAGTGGCAGACTGGGGCTGTTTCCTTTGTTTTTCGTTCCTTTGTTCGCATGAGATCTGTAGAAGCAGCAGGGTTTGGAGAATTTCAGGAGCCCTGGAGGAGTAGCAGACGGGGCTGGAGGTGTTACCTCTGTGTGCTTGCCTTGGTCAATGGCAGACTGGGGCAGTTTTTGTTTCTTCCTTTTCGCTCATGGGATTTTTGGTTTCATTGTTCGTTAAACTAAGGTTAGGGGACCGAGTAGATGTTTGGACAGGGCAGCAGGTTGTGGGGAGTAGGCTGTTCTTGTTTCGTCACTCCGAATCTGACGTGTAGGTTACCTACAGTGAGCCCTTTGGCGTAGGTTTGGAACCTGGGCCTATGGCTTCTGACGAGAGTATGCTGCAAGTAGTGTTTTCAGTGGTTTGCGGGCATTAGGCTGTTCTCGATTCGTCAAATTTGGATACGACGAGTAGGATACCTACTGTGAGCCTTGTTTGGCGTAGGTTTCGAACCTGGGCCCTTGGCTTCTGACGAGAGCATGCTGTGGTGAAGCGTTCTTTGGATACCGTATTGGCCGAGGGTCTGCTCGCTGAAGACCCTATCGGCGTAGGGACCAAAGGGGAACCTATTTTCGGCTCCCTTTCGGTGCCTTTCGGTGTGCCCAACCTGGGCCCCTAGCAGATTGTGACTGTCCTTTGTCATTTTTTCTGTTTGTTGATTTTTGCCCTTTCACCCATGGGTTTTGAACCGTTTCCTTTGTTGTTGATAGCATAGACGGTACAAGGGATGACCGGGGGACTTACATAAGCAATGATTGCATAGTTGTTCTTCCCTTTGGGTCCAACGACGTGAGGCCCTCTGTTGTTTCCGGAGATGACAGTGGGTTAGCGACGGAGGTGGGAGCGTCGAAAGTTGGGATGTTGACGAGGGTGATGACTGGCGGTTTCCCCCTGAAGATGACCGTGTGGCGACGGTCGAAACCGGTCGGGGTGCCATACCCACCGGCTACGAGCAATCTTGTGTATTCTTGTATGGTTTGTGTACATTTTGTACTGTGACTTGACTTGTGTATGCCGACGCTTGTGTCAAGCCGACGCTTGTGTCAACGCTTATGCATGAGTACTTTCACACTCTCTATCTGATCACCTTATGGCGGTACTTACCGTTTGAAGGAGCCATGGGACATTTCTTAGTGGACCATGGACTCGATGTTCGATGTTTTTTGCGGAGTACCTGACCGGGTTCCTCGATAAGGTGGGTGGCTTGCCCATGCTTTCCGTGATGTTCCGACTGGCGGCTGACGCTCCTCTGTACATGGGACGGTTGAGGGGACCTCTATTAAGCCTGAACCTGTGTAAGAGTTCGTACGATGGCTTATATACCACTGTAGCGCAAAACTTTTCCTTTCATCTTCGGACGAGCGCCTCTCCGGTATCGTGTTGTTCCAATACTCATGCGCATTCGGCTTGAGAATGGTGACTGAGGCATTGGCTCCACGCACCTCCTGACAGCCAGCGTGGTTTTTTCGATTGACAGCTGCGCCGTTGGCGCCGGCAAGGCATTAGACACAGTGTCAGAGGGTCTCTGCCAACTGCATCTTTGGATTGGCTACGAGCGGAAGCTTGCTGGAGGGAGCCTCCTTTCGATTCGCCTGTTTTATGTTGTGTGTTGCCTTGGTGTTCGTCTGTGTTTTGTTGTGCTGTGTAGGTACGTGACCAATGTTGCTGAGATGGCGGGCTCCTCGATCTCACCTGTCTTCCTCACGGTTTCGGTGGCCTCTATGCCTCAATCCAACACGATGGAGCACGTTCTTCGTTCTTCTTCTGTTGATTTCGTGTACGGATCGGGATTGAGTTACATCGGGGTGTATGGTAGAGAAGGGGTTGGATGATAG